ATATATATACCCACAGTATTATCAGCACACCAACTCATCACACTAACTTACTCATCAGAACACGTAGACATGAAGCGCAGTAAGTGGGAAATATAAGTGCTGAAAGAAAGGTGTAGCGCTCCAGAAATCACATAGGTTGCAGGAACCCTAGAACTTGGAACTAGGGCAGGATATAAATACTATTTACAATTCATAAGCATCTCATTAGCTGCTTTTTTTTGCTATGATAAAATAGCACTGAAACAATGGTTGAGAGGACAACATGCCACACGATGAGTACATGTAGAATCAGCACTAATCGATGTCTCTTTCCCAATCTTGTCATGAAATTTGTCTTGAATATGAGTGTATTGGCTTGAGCCTTAGGGGTGAATTTAGGTCTAAACATACATTATTCATCACGTACTCGAATACAGCTTCAACAGAAATATCATGACTCGTTCTGTTGAATACCTGCTTCCATCCGTGCTCACGAACTGATCCAGACGAGTCGAGGACGAACATAATCGATTTGCTCTCCCCCGCTTTCTCTTCACAGTAAAAGCAAATTTCTCCCTAGATCATCTGATTATTGGAATAAAAGAGTGAATTCGAAAGCCTTTATTCAATTCCAAGAATTTCTTTTCCAGCTGTCGCATATTGGAATAACTGAATCCTTTCCATTTCCCCTATTTGGCTCAATTTACCCTTCACGACTCCTACAGACTTTGTTCTTTTAGAAACATGTGCAAATTCACATGCTTGATTCGAATTCTTCCACAACTGTGGCGATTGATGATGAGAATCAACGAAAGTGGTCAATAAGAGCAGAACACAGTGGACGTAGCATGTAGCTATCCCATAGGTCAGAGGGAGTGACGAGAACAGTCATGATAGATGATAACTCTGATATTCAACAGATTGGTACCATTTAGTGCTCTGCTACCTTGAATCCCTTTTGGATTGTTCAGGGGCAAGTCATGTGACGCTAGGAGAAGAACCCAACTTTGTCCCTTCCATTCCTATAACGGAAAATGTGTTGGGTCTGCATTTTATATTGGAGTATTAGTTGCTTATCAGTCACTTGCAAACTCACGGGTTCATGATGCCCATACTTGTCTGGATACAGTTTTCTGCCATCAGTATCGGGGTTCTTGCATTCGCATGTGTTCGTTGCTGCTATATGGCGAGCTCCTTTTCCACATTTTTTTCTTGGTACTGTGGTTGTTGTCGTCGTTGTCGTCGTTGTAGTGGTTGTTGTCGTGGTGGTTGTAGTAGTGGTTGTGGTTGTTGGAGTTGTGGTTGCTGTTGTGGTTGTTGGAGTTGTGGTTGTTGTTGTCGTTGTAGGAGTTGTGGTGCTAGTTGTTGTGGTTGTGGTTTCAGGGGTTGTGAACGTTGTCGTGGGAGGCGGTGTGGTTGTTTTTGATGTAGTAGTATTTGTAGTCGACGTTTGCTCTTTTGATGGCTTATATGTCTCTGTAGTTGTGGTTGGTGTCGTAGTTGTAGTGATGGCGGACGTCGTCGTTGGAGTCGTGGTTGTTGAGGTTGCGGTCGTTGTTGTAGTCGAGGTTGTTGTCGTTGTAGTCGTAGGAGCGGTGGTCGTCGTAGTCGTTGTCGCAGGTGTAGTTGTAGTCATGGTTGTGGTGGTGGTTGCCTTCTTTCTGTTGGTTCCTAAAAGGCACAGCTAACGATAATTCTGAGGTCCCCTTTTCAGGTTGAAAAACGGAAGTGTTGATGTAGAGGAGTACATCGGTGGATTTATGAATTTTTCGTGTTTGGACGAGATTTAACTTGCGCCCATTGCGCAAAGAGATGACTACATCAAGTCAAAGCTGTCCAAAATTGCCTTTCCCTGTCGCCATGGGTTATGACAAGTTGTTTGAACTCCCTGCGTGGGAGTCTCTTGTCTTGAGATGGTGCAGGTCCTACAAAGCCGTTAAAACTCGTCCACTATGGGTGTATCACCCACACGATACAATCTCGGGCCCTTTATTGTGCCCTATCCAGGTCCTTTTACAACTTTATAACGACATGTGTAGTATAAGGAGAGCCTCGAAACAATACTATGGGGAAATCTCAGCTACGATTTTTATCGTAAACTGTGCCTTCAAGAGAGTTGTGTGGAAATCAGGTTCTCTTCTGAGACTGCTTGAAGGTTGCTGGAGTGCAAATTCTTGTAAGCAAGTCCATCATCACGAGGTGAAAATTTTAGATGTCTCTCCTTGATTACTGTTTCAAATGCGCACTTGTTATTGATGGGTGCAGCACATACAAATGCAGAGAACCTTTCCTTACTACTCGAAAACAGGCATGCACCTAACCAGAACTCTCCCTTGGGAACATGCCATCCAGTTCTGCCGCACTCTTTAGCTTTACTTCTAATTTTCTTATCAAAAAAATTTACGAGATCAAATCTCTCGATATTAATGGCATAGCGCTTCCTGCTATCATTCCACGTTAAAGCTCATCAATGAGCCTTGACGTTTAAGCAGCGGTCTTTACCCTTCTATACTTTGCCTGCAGCGTGCTGACCTAATCGATGTATTTATATTAAAGGTCTTCCCTCACCTCAGAGGCTTAGTTTGCGAAGATCTCGAGGTACCAGGATAAAACGAATAATGGAAGCGGATGTTGGGGATAGCGCGATGGTGGCGAGGAGAACACGAGTGTCGGCTGTTTCAGAAAAATAAAAGGCTTCAAAAACGTGGCAGAAATTGATAGAAGAGTGCATGGTTTCAAAAAAGAGCGGCAAATCAAGTTAGGCGTTAGAATGATGAAATGAATGTCATGAAAGGGGTGTTCAGACGAGTTGTGCGCAATGTGTATCATTGCGCACAACCGTCTGAACGCCCCTTTCATGACATTCATTTCTACAGTTAACAAACTGTCTTCGGAGCATCCCTTCGCTGTTAGAGATCAACTGGTTGCATGTCAACATGGACATGCAACATGCATGGAGAGAAGCAGAAACTAATTTTATAATTCTGATGTATTTAGCTTCAAAGAATAAAGAGCGATAGTCTAGTATAGTTCAGAAATGCCGAAGAAAACGCGAAAGTCAAAAAAAAAACCTTAAAAAAGTAGTAATATTACTGATTAGACGAAAGTGTGATGACAAAAGTGCCCTGGAAGGGGTGTTTGCCTCCAAATGTGCGTGTCATTGCACACAGCTAGCTGCAGTGAGATTCCTGCGGACGTCCGCGACCTCTACAGCTTCTAAAACGTCGCAAGATTTCGTCGCCTCTGGGAGTGTAGTCAGCTAAGCCGAATTTGATGCCCCTTTAGCGCCCCTGGGTCATTTTGAAACCGGCAGAGCCCCTTGTGCTATTCCTTTGGATCACAGGTTCGTCTGGAGAAAAAGGCATAGGAGCCGTTCTCACTCTCATTGTCAACTCTGCCCCTGAAGGTTTTAACAAGAAAAACGATTTAAAAGAACAAAGATAGTAACCACGTCATTGTTTTCCAGAGGATAACTTCTAGTTCTGTTGAATGTTAAGTTTTCGTTTTTTTCCTTCCGGATATTCTATAATGACACAATATACAACAATTTGAATGACGTTCTTACCAAAGGCGCAGACAACAGGAAGACGAGCTATTGCTGGGACGTCAAGATAGCCATTTGTTCCCATTGCTACTGTTGTTCTCGGTTTGTCCGCGCACATATTTTTTGGATAGCCCTTGGTCCAAAATTCGAATGGAATTGCCTGAAAGGCTGTGCCTCAGTCGACAGCGAAGTGGTGAACGTTTACTGAGTGTCATTCATAGATTATCAGGACTCTTGAGAATGCTTTTTACGCTTCTATGCATGTGCACAAGCTCCTCCATCTTCTCTAATCGCATCATTACTAAGTATTCATGTAGCCGTATTTGACTTATATGGAAAGAGTTTCTTACCTTGCACAATTTTACTCTAACTGTTTCAACACAAATTATGAAGTATGTCCCAAAATTATGGACACCAAGTCACGTCCATGTATTGAAAGCTTTTAAGCAGGGAACGACAATGGATTCTATGTGCACGTTTGCTAATATTGTGTGCTACAACATGCTACAATCATAATTCAAAACGTCCCCCATGAACTCAGATAGAGACCAAAAGTTTTTTCTCGAACTCCTCGCATGTTGCACTCGAGTATTCTCTTCTCTTTTTCCCAGCGGTTTTTGAGCCTTGCTTCCTAGAGCTCCTAACTAGACTGCAAACCCAACAGGTCCTCTTCTTTACAGAGATCATGCGGAAGAGCCAGGTGATCTAGGATCTAGAGAGCAGGATGGCCATTCGCTTTCTCCTCTTCGCTTGAAAAGGGGGCAACTAGCGTCGGTACAAATTCCAGGCAAACTTGCCTCTGTGGGCTGGAGTACAACCATGCTGGAAAGACCACGAGCTAAAGCGGAGTCAGATGAGTGCTTCATTACGTTCATCAGTATGCTTTTTGAGTACACGTCCTCGTTAATTTTCGCGCTGGTACCAATGAAAGTACGGACGTCTTACTCTTGCTAGTGATTCCGTCAATGAACAGTAACCTGGTAACCTGCTGTTTTCATAGCATTTTTTGTGAGAGACAGTACGCTCGATATTTATTACAACAACATGACCGTTGTCGTGCCGTTCGGAAGGGCGAAGGATTAAAGGACGACCTGGCCGTGGCCGCCGCCCGTAGTCCCGCCGGGAAGGCGTTGTACGCTGCAGAGAGCTAGAGTTTGCAACGTGGCGGCGGACTCCAGCCGCTATCGGCGATTGCATCATTCATTCGCCATCGTGTCAACGCCGTAGCCGCCTGCTTATACGCACCTGGCTGGGATCCCCTATAGCTCGTGCATACAACACGTTCGAATTTCCAAGATGTACGTGCGACCATAGGGTCACGTCAATGGTAATAATAAGAAATGATATAATGGTGTGATATGAGGGATATGATAATGATGAGGAGCCCTACAAGACAAGAGATGGTCTGTTACGCTCTTCGTAGCGACAAAAGGAAGATTGGTATCTTGGCGGAATGACGTTAATGTGTCGTTATAATGAACGGTTTTCGACAGGGTCTGGTAAGAAGTGATTGGGGCACATGATTGCCACCAGATCACCTTCCACCTTCTCTTTTCGTGTTGCAGCAGAGCATACGGCTACATCATTTTGTGACAGACTGCAACCCGTCGCACTTCAAATTCAAATCAAATCAAACACTACAGCAAATTCCAATACAGGTAAAGGCTAAAATGGAACTCCAAGAAGACCTCGAGTTCTAACCTCTCCCCAAAGTGTGCAATGTAACTTTGACATTTGATACGTTTCAAATGATAAGACGAGGACGATTGCGTAGATTAACAAAGAATGATAAGTGCAATAATAAGGATCATTAAGAGAGAACGAGGTCAACGCAACCCTTGCCATTGGATTACGAGGACTACGCCTGACGGTTGTAAGGTTATGAAGGACCACGTACCCTCTTTACTCGAACATTAATTGTGTGAAAACGTACTCGGAAGTAAATAATCTAAAGGTGCCAGCTAATGATTTGTATACATAATGTGGTGTGTCATCAATCGTCGACCTCAGTGAGAATTACGCAAGCCTGTGGTTGACCAATAACCATCAAAACTTCCCTGACAACCTAAAGCGTCTTTCGGTCCGTAATCGCTCTCTAATCGCCATATGTGCAACACCTAACTATACTGTCTGTCCTACTGGCAGAAAAGGTGACCGCAGTGATGCCCATGTCTATAAAATCTCTCGAAACACTGTGAAGATGAGTATATAGGTTAGACTGGAGTACTTTATGTACGAATTGGGAAAAAATCCAACGGTAAGGCAGGCCGCAACTGCCTTAGGTTGCCACAGGACACAATCTTATAATAAATACAATTTTAGGGTCACGATCTTAGCCTTGGCGCACGAAACGCAAACAGCCGCGAGGAAGACCTTGGAGGCGTTTTGGACTAAGTCATGGATCAAAAATGATCCCGAAGGGGGGAATGCGATTAAATCACGTCGCGCGAACTCACTACCTAGATTAGATTAGCCTCTGACCGTCACCTTTGAACTTAAGACGGCCGATTTCATGTCGCTCACGAAGGCTGATTCCGTTAGGCAGGGAGATACGATACTTTTATTCACCTAAAATTGTGTGATGATCAAGTTTGTCCCGAAGATAACGTAGGGTATTGAGATTTTGATGGGATAACTTCATGAGTTTGATCCCAACTTTTCAGATTAAAGAGAAGGCGATTCGCCTAAAAATAAGCCGTTAAGGTAGTCGGGCCTCGTCGGAGCTATATCAGTAAAGTTATTTCGACAATGATGCTGAGGTTTATCCAGAGCCGTGCGTGGAGATATCGTGATATTTTCCCTCAGTCCTCAAAAAAAAAACGTGTGATTCTTCGATATACAGATGCAAAATAGCTCAAAAGAATCAGAGGATGCAAATTCACCCTGATTTCATAACGAATTTGTCACTTACGGCAGTTTCCCCTGTGTCACTGACATGAGCGAATGATCTAGCATAAGAAATCGAATCTTTTTCTGGTTTGCAATCCCCATTTGGTTGAGTCTTGCTTTTCAAGTCGCGTCTAGCAGGTATTCGCACTGGTATTGATAGAGAGAACTGTAATCTTCTGAATTGGTTCTGTTCACATAGAACTCTGCTCCTAAATCNCTGTAGATAGAATAACCCGGAATCACCTTGTCGAGTATTTTCCTGAACTCGCTCTCATTCTCAAAATCCTCGTTCGAAATGGCATATCCATGAGGAAGAATCTTAAGGTAAATGAAAATCAATGCTGCACGAACCTGAGAACGGTTAAAAAAGCTGTCTTTGATATCGTTCAAATGTTCTGATGAACCCACATCACAAAATTTATTCAAGTCGGTTACATTGGCTTCAAACTCTGTTCCTTCTACAGCGTGCACGGTCCCATAATACATGTATGTACGTTTATATCCATCTTTTTCGGTAACAAACTGATGTGGCAACTTGAGCTTATCAAGAAGAGTGCCTTGTTCTATTTCTTCATCCTGCATCGCTGGAATCAGTAATGATTTCTCCGAGGAGGAAGATGATAAAGTTTGGCCCTCCAAAAAATTAAGGCAACAGGGAGCAGTGCCCGTTCTACTTATCGCTTTATAATGGCAAAAGTCTGCAAGAGGGTAAATAAGGCCTGGTCAAGTTTCAGTATCACTTATGAAACATAGGCCATGTAAGTTGGGCTACGCATGCTGACGCGTGCATCAAATGTCCGTAACCTCTTACTTAATGGTGAGACTTGGTATGAGATTAAAACAATCAGAGTCGGTAGACTTCCTATTTCATATCTGATTCTTAAGAGCGCCCAGCGCAGCGACTTTCACATTCTTCATCGCGCCTACGTGGCTTCTCGCAGACAGACGCACAAACCGGCACACTAAGAGACACATAAACTTAGCTCTTTATATATATATATTATATATTTTATATATATATATATTTATGTATAGAAAGAATAGAGCACAGCCATATAGGCTCAAACATGGTTCGAAGCTTTTGTCAAAGAAGAACCATTTTCTCATTTGTTACATACATACCTATGCAGTGAGGGTATGCAGCTCTACCGAATGTTATACTTTCCTCCGATTTCTGTCTGATTAGTCTTGATGATCAAGAGTGCGCATTATCGACTGCGTCTTTTGATAGAGAACGCTCAAGCTCACTTTCAAAGAATAAATTGGCCTCGCGAGAGCACAGATGTCCAATGCTCTCCCTTCTATCACCATAAATGGCAGACCCTATCTTGATGCCATCTAATCCTCCTTTGGTTAACCGCAGCTTGACTGGCGATTTTCTGTCATCGACCGTAGTGTCTGAAATGACAAAGCTGAAGACCACATGAGGAAGTCAAAGACAGCTGACAAGAACTAAAACAAACGCATGTCAATATTTGTGACACAATGCATATCCAGGGCGCTGGAAAATGTTTTACGAGATTGTCAGTAATTCTGAGTGAATATGAACGAGATCCGTTTCTGATGGTGTTTCGATGTCCGCTGTTATGTCAGTGTGTATACATGTGCAGTATGAATGTAAGAATATGTATGTATGTATATAAATATGAGATATCCACAGTGACATCATAACAGGCATCGAAACACCATCAGAAATGTATGTATGCATGAATGTATGTATGTACATATATAGGGTGCGCCATAAATATGGTAAAAACTTTTAGGACACCCACATAATTTCCTTGTTTGGAGCACCTTCTCTTATGCTTATGATATTCCTTAGCCACACATCTACTTTGGTACTCTCAATTCGTGGGATTTTGAAAAACGGTATAGCCTCGCAGACATCCATCAACCGTTCCGTCTGTGGAAGCGTTCCGTCTTTGGTGAGTGCTTTTCCGGGATAGCTCCTGGTCCCACATTTCCCACATGACAGTCTCTTAAAACGCGATGCATTCAATTTTTTGTAACCATATTTATGGCGCATCCTGTATATGTATATATGTATGTATGTATGTATGTATGTATGTATGTATGTATGTATGTATGTATGTATGTATGTATGTATGTATGTATGTATGTATGTATGTATGTATGTGTGTATGTATGTGGGTATGTGTGCGAAATGTATGTGTGCACCTATGTATGTATGTATGTATGTATGTATGTATGTATGTATGTATGTATGTATGTATGTGTGTATGTGTGTATGTATGTGGGTATGTGTGCGAAATGTATGTGTGCACCTATGTATGTATCTATGCACTCATCCTCCATCCTGTCTCCGCTGTGAGCAGTCGTTTTCGGGCAGTTGCCCTGATCAATCCGATTATTTCCTCCTGATCTAGAAGACTTATAGTTAATTTCGCGGGTACCCGTGTGGCGGAGTCGCTTGAACACTAAATGCAATCTGCCATTGGACGGAGTCGTATGGGAGTCTTCTTATCAATCGTTCTGATGGTAAGCAAAATTTAAGCTTGTTTCTCGATCTCAGTTGTAGAGGGCTCAGTTTGTCCAGGATATTCTTGCTACTCAAGTCGTAGTGTACGTAGTACTCAAGCTCGTACATCAATTCAGTTTGTCACAAGGACTGGAGTCGAACCTCTAAAAACCGACCACGTTCTGGGCTGTGAGATGCGGTTGACCTCCCAGTGAAGGATAGTCAATTACGTGCACATCTGAAAAACAATCCCGGGTCATCATCCAGAGAAAGCGAGTAGATCTTATCCCTCGGAAGAAGTCGTGAGTTGGAGCAACGGATAGGTCCCGAGGTAGCGGAAAGCAGCGGTCTCCTGATAGAAACAAAGGCTCTCAAACAAGCTATGGTGAACAAGGAAGCCATTTATTCTACCATTGTTAACCCTGAAAATTATTGCTCTGTTTACAGTTGTCACTGTTGCCATAAAAAGAAGGATTATGTTTTGTTGTTGTTGTTCCAGTGTTGAGGAAAATGATGAACCATCTTCATTTATTCGTATTGAGCATTATTCAGATCGTATGAGAAAACATTCCATTTCTTCCTGAATTGATATTTCCGTAAACATCCTATACAGTAGACATAAACAAATCTCTCGTCTCACTTAAAACGTGCTTTCTGATGCTTCCTTTGCTCACTCCTATGACTCCTTGGTTGAGATCCATGCCGTTTCTGGTATCCAGAAACTATTCGACGGTATTCCTCCGGAGTGGACATCCCTTGTTCCAAATCCCCCTCCCTCTGTGCAGTCAATACCGTTGCGTACAGTCTTCCATAAAAATAAATTCAGCCCGAGTGCAGCTCTAAGAAGGCGCACATAGTAGAGGAGCATCTCATCACAGTAACGCACTCAATGAAGGGTTCCGAGTTCAAAAACTCGGAGGTCGGAGCGACCAAGCAACATGTCTCCCCGTAGCATGACAGCCCGACCATCGGAACGATCACGTTTGCAATGTATCTGGGGAATTGGATAGTCGCGCCACCTTTCGCCACATGAAGGCGCGTTCAGAATCAGCTCGGACTGAATTTGATTATCTGATGAAGCATACGGCTCCTTACGCATCGGGCTATTCGCTATGCTTACGTCGCCACCTCAACGGTCTCGCCAGTGTGCGTGAAAAAAGGAACACAAGGTAGCAGTCGTAGAGCGAAGAGACCACTAACGTGCAGTCGTCGTAACACTGCAGTGCGTCAGGCGGTTGATCTTGGTAGATTACCTACTCCCCTTCTCGCAGCAGAACCAAGGTTTTGGATCGTTCTGCATATGCATGAATTAATGCTGTGAGGGATATGAACTCCTAGGCTACACTCGTCATGGTTCGACCTCCGTCGAGATTTCCGATGACGTTTACTTGGATGAAGTCATCCGGGTGATGTCTACAGGACTTGTCTTATCGAAGATGCCACCACACTACCTCGCAGCTACTCTCTTATTGACAAGAACCTTTTTCGTATCCATCAGCTGAATCGTTTTGCGCGAGCAGCCATATTTTGGCCTTTCATTCGAGTTCTTCTTCTGCAGTTTTCTTTTCGTAGTTGTTATAGATCTAGCAATACGCACACAAATTGTTTCATTTCCATACCATAACTGATGTTTAGTGTAAGTATTTATGTATCTATGTGGTTATACTTTTTCAAAAGACGAATCGGCTTACAGATGACTATGAGGTTACTGCGTCTATCTTTTCTTTGACAGTACTGTGTATTTTGTTGCATAGTATTTGAAATTTATTTACTCTTATGTCTTACAGAGAATGAATTAAACTCAGGATTCAACCCGCCACTGCCTCATATGGTTGGTATAACTAAGGCGTGGCACGGCTCTGCAACGAAATGTACCTTCAAACTTGGGTCGTTTCTCTTTAACCGGATGTATATGCTTTGCGGTTTTTCCTCTGTTTCCTACCCATAATTCAGGATGTGACTCGCCGAAAAAGGCTGAAATCATTTGAGATTATGGCGGATTTTATGCTAGTGACACAAGCGAATTTTTGTTGTCATTTCAAAAATACAATCTACGAGTACCGTTCAGGTTTTCTCAGTATTGTTACTGTTTACCCTCCCACTCCCAATAATATACAATTTCGTATTCTTTTAGCCTACCGCCTCCCCCCCACACTAATCATGGCTTTAAATTTTCCAATTTTTTGTGCAGTGCTTCCTTTGCACCTCTCACTTTCGAGGGTTCCTGTTGTTGAGTTCAAGTTTATTTGACAATTCGAAATTCTCTTCGGTCCATTCTCCGTTGAGTGAGGAAAAGAATTATGCACGATATGAATTCACAAAACTCCTAAGCTCTCTCTATCAAACCCTAATCGCATAAGAAAGGTTCCATCTAGAAATCTAGCCAACATTTTTCAGATTCAGGGGAAAAGCCAGGTTAATTTGTTCGGAGCACAGAAAGACAAGGTTTCATAGCTAAAATTGTTCTTCAACCCTTCACTCTTAGCATAGTTCACGATAGTTCTGAGTGAGGTAACGGGAGTCATGATGAAGAATAGCGCAGCGACGATTGCGAAAAGTTATAAGGTTTCGAAAACATCAATTCCAAAAAGTAGCAAAAAAACGAAATCGTGTTTGGGTGTCTCTTGACAAGCTCTCACTGCGTCTTGCGCTTCATTGTGGGTGATGCAGAATCAGCAAGAACGTCATAACACGGGTGTGACTTGGCCAGACCAGTTTGGTGCACCTCATTACATAGGTCATATTGCGGCCCAGCAATTCCCGTATACTGATTATGGGAGACCCACTTTCACCCCAGGGAAAACTAGTAAACCTTACCCATCGTGAAGTGTACCTTTCATCAAGATAGAGTAAGTGTTTGTGGAAACTATAATGAGAGGATGAGTCTTTTCGCAAACTAAAAGGCATTCCGAAAAACATACTTGCAACCCATTTGATCTCTTCACGACTGCGAATGACGTGCAACTTGTGCTTCTTTCCGCATATTCGCCTATTGAACTGTTCTAGCCCACCTTTGACTATGAAGCAGTAACCAAGAAACTCTTCCTCGTAAACATCACAATAGAACGGCTTATCTGAAAATCAATCGATTATGCGGTATTCTCAGGAGTTTGATGGCTACTTCCTGATCATATTACAACCACGCTGTATTACATGGATGGTAGCATCTTTATTGAGAGCCCAAGATTATTTCGCGCCTAGCCGGCCCCATACTGTTCTGAAAAAAATCTGAATTGGGTTCTGACTGAATCACCGATCGACACGTAATCACAGAAGGATTCCATTACAGCTTGTGAGATCTGATTCAAATCTTGTTAGCGTTTTCGGTTGAGTTAATGCGTTCATTGAAGAGACCAGTCGGGCTACGCAACCTGCACTACATGTCTTCAATTGCACGGTTTTTGATGAAAATGGTCTCTGAGGTTCTCCCCTAAAATGATACCACAAAAGACGCTGTTGGGTCAAAAACGGTCCAGCTGTTGGGTCAAAAACGGTCCATGGACCCCGGCGTCGGCGCACACTCGAAGATGAACGTGTTCACACGGAGAGGCTCCGCACTATGAAGCTCATGTTGCAATGGCAACACATTCAGAAAGCTCGTCTAAAGTTCCAGTTTCGTGCACCTTTTGTCGACACATTCTCTTCCATTTCCTGAGTTTCGCGTTTTTTGGGACCTACGCGCTAATCTAGAGTATTACTTCCAGTATTCATATAAATTCGGCTACCTCAAAATTATAATGAACAGAGCCTTTGACCGCTCATCTTCGATCTTATCAGAGGAGACATTTTTCATTTTTCGTATACGCGATAATGCTTCAGAAAAACACTCAGCAGAGTGTTGGTGAACTGCCTGGGCTAGTAGGCATCCAACGTTTTGAGTCATTCGCAACATGCACTTTCCAAAAAGTCCGTTCACTTGCGGTCCACTGCGGTGGGAATTCGATGAAGGGATTCACTTAGCCTTAGCCTCTTCAGTGTCGACTCGATAAACATCCCCGAAATGATGCTGAAATGTTAATATCATAGTTGTTTTACGAAACCAATCCCATGTGTAGCAACAAAACAAACTTTGACTTGCAACTCCAGATGACTTGGTGAACTAGTCAAAGTTCAGTGAAGATGGTTGCACGCCCACTGAAGCCGAGATCGTCTGTTTTATAGATTAACCGACTAATTTTTGACGGGTCTTCCTCCATAATATTGAGCATCTAGCAGACGTCTGCTGATGCAACCTTGAATTGGTAACGGCGTTACCGTTGTAGATATTTCGGCCTTCGGAAATATTTTCCGGGGATCTTGGCGCGACGCACGGAGAACCATTCCATTGTTCGCGGGAGTGGAATCCGTGACCTAATCAAAATGATTTGTTTGATTGTTCCGAAGAAGATCTCTGCGGGATTCGATCCTTTCGTTGGCCCTTGTAATCGTAGACCATTACACACTAGAGTGCCTCGAAAGTTTAGCATGAATCAGTTCTTGGTGTGAAAAATGATCGTTAAGGCAATAAGACAAATGTTGTCGAATCATGATATCATCATTATCATATGAATTTATCGATGAAGCTTCCTTTTTCTACGGATATATCTTTCTACGGACTAGGTGCCTAGGTGCGGCGAATCCAAGACTATTATTTTTCGGGCAAGTTTTTTAACGAATGATATCATAGCAAAGAGAAACCGCGATCCTTCATCGAGTAAAAAGCTATGCTGGGTAGCTGTCATGGTCTAATAGCAATAAATGAACCAATTTTCATCTCTTTACAATTGTTTACCCTCAATTGGTCGCACAGAAAGGGAGAATTATGAATTTTGGCTCAGAAATTTGTTTTCTCGCAAACCCCACTCCCCGTTAGCGGAGCCCTCCCAACCATCGCCTTTCCGTCCTGCCACCTGTACTCCTACCAAGTTTGATAGCTCAATGACCAAATTGACAATTTTCGCGCAAATCTCGCCTTCTATTTGCGGAGTCCGGTCTTATGAAGTACTCGATGAGGGATAGGTGACCGGGCAGCCCTCCTGCTATATAGTCTCCGGAGTAAACAATCTTTCGGTGTTAGTGCAATTGATGTGAGTGAGGCTTTAATATTTCTTCTTGAATTTAGGTTTGTTAGTCTAATGTGAGTTGCAGCTAGTTAAGAGCTGGTCTGTGCCAAGGGTGTTAGGTAACCCTTAGGTAACACCTTATAGTTCTGATAAGCTTGTAAGCTTTTGAAAACGACAAACCTGCCGAAACATCATGCACAGTAAATGTTTCGCCATTGAAAGAACTTTTCGACAAAATTGTATTGATACAGTGTTTTTACATCGAAAATTGGAGGAGTGCTTCTTCATTGTACTTGAGATGGTTGTGTGGAGCTTGAGAAAACAAAGTTTCTGGTTTCATGACTCCATTTGAAGTTAAGTTGACATTCCTTGCTTAAAGATTTTTTGTAACCCCTCACCGATAATGCGGTATTTTGTGTTCAATTGCCGAAGTCATCGGCTATCAACGTAATATTTTCCGTATCGTTTTCAAATGCTGATTTAATGGATGTTATCTTTTCAACATATGCACTTTTCCCAAACAACAGCTGTAAATAAGAATATTACCGTATTCACATCTGGTAGGGAAACCTTCCTTGACACTGAGGATGGGATAGGGAGAAACGGCTCTGCACAGTTGCATAGCTCTCCCATAGTTGGTTTTGACGTTGAACTCCATTGTGCAAGTAGACATATGCTGAAATATCACTGCAGCAATCCCACTTATATAATCGGCTAAGTGTGTCTGTCGGTGTGTTTGTGTGGTTTGTGTGTGTGTGTGTGTATGCGAAATTCATAACTGCTGTTCCCGTGGACCGAAAGCGTTCAAATTTGATAGGAGTGCAGGCGGCAGTATGGGAACACTTTTAGTAGGTGGCGGGACCGGACTCCGCCCCCATAGGGGAATTTGGCCATAGGACGTTCAAAGCATTCCAATTGCACGGAAATTTCACGGAGGTACGCTTCCTTAGCCTATCTGTCCTTTTTTTCTCGGAATAATCGCCTTTGTGATATTATACGATGTTCTTACCGGACACAGCGAAAATGGCTTACAGAAAAAATCGCACCTGTTCTTAGATGATGCTGCCAGTGAGCATTTTTAGTTGTCGAAGAACAGCATTATGTAGAAGCGTGTATATCCGACAGCTGCCAGCTCTTGAAAGATTCTGGGCGATGGATTTCGAACACAGGTAGGTGAACGAGCCGACAGAGAGCCCAAGACCACCCTACCTATGTATTCCCCAGCATGTGCAACGCCTTTTTTTGCATTTTCTGATTTTTCTATTTTTCCTCTGGCTATATTTATTTTCACTTCTCGAATATGTTTTTCAATTTTTTGCGCGCACTCTTCCCCATATTCGCTTATATCCCACTCTCTTCATCCCTCCTCTAACATCCCTTCCATACCGTTTGTGTCTTCTGATCTCGTCGGCGCGCATCAATCGAAGAGAGTCAGCAACCTAGCATAGCCTCCAGGTTTGAAGCGCGCGATGAACGGAAAATCAACGGATACTGATAACTGTAACTTGTATGAAGAGACCTCCAAAGGTTTCCGCTAACGCCGGGCTTCCCTCCCTCTTATGGGTTCGCCCGGCTATGCTGGGCGCTCCTTCTTCATGTGAGTAATTTGCTATGCGTTAATAACACTTCGGATTCTCCTTTTTCTTTGAAAGCTCTACACCCTCCGAGTTGGGAGCGATTTTTTTCTGTAAGCTATCTTCGCTGTATCCGAATAGAACATCGTATAATATCACAAAGGCGTTTGTTCAGAGAAAAAAAGTATTCAGAGGCTTCATCGCGGCTGAGGCTACTATGTTAGCTACCATCAATGTTCTAAGCCAACTCCTTGTGCCTTGAAGTTTCAACGGTCTGGGTCCGATCGAACAGTATTTATTCACGCCCCGCCCTTTGGGGCAGAGTTTAGTCCTGCAACCTATCGTCAGTGAACTTATCCTGCCCCCCGTTTTCCTACCAAGTCGCTCTAAGTCCATTTTGACATTTCCGCACACACTGTGGGCAGCCCCCTCCACCATATATGTTCCCATCCTGCCCCCCGTACTCCTACCAAGTTTGAACCTCTCGGGCCAAGGGGAGAGGAGCTTAAATTTGCGGCCCAACTCTGCTATCGCGCTGCCGTCTGCCTCCTACCAAGTTTGAACGCCCTAGAGCCGAACTAAAAAAATTTGGCGCAAACCTCGCCTTCTATGAGCAGGGTCCGGTCCTCCCACCTACGATAAGTGTCCCCGTTGTCCCAGTAGTTATGAATTTTCGGTCAGACACACACACCGACACACACACACAAACACAAACACAAACACACAACAAACACACCGACACACCAACAGACACACTTAGCGAATTATATAAAGTAGGATAGACATATATATACTCATATTTATGCCCTTTGTATTTGAAATGCGGAAACCCGCCTACTTCAGGAGGTGGCGTTTCCATCCAAAAGGGTAACACCCAAGGTTTAAGAGGTTCCGGTCATTCATTCGAATCGGAGATCATAATGATATATTGTGAGAAGGATTTGTAGGAAAGGCTTTATGAAAGAGAAGAAATTGCTCAAAGTATGCGGCGAAGAAAACTGAATTATGGATGCAGAACTTCTCGATTAAGTTGCTTAAGGTTATCGAAAAAGAAAAATGTAGTTGATCACATAGAGTTTTGGGAAAGCTAGCGCTTGAAGTACCACTAATCTTTTCCATGCAAAGCACTTACTTTTAATGTTCCCGTCCCAAACTGAAAAGCGTTTCGGCAGTGACGCTCGAATGTTTCTGAAATGAAAATCCAATTGAAAACCTTCGACGATTTGCCACGCCTAAATCAGTAGTAAACGAGACCGCCCAATGTCCCACCATTCGCTAGCTTGTAAGAACAAGCTTGAAGTAATGTTTCTAGGTCACAGCTGCTAGTCAGAGCATAATTTCCTGATCAACCACTCTACAAAGTGATCGGTATAAGTATACATTTATCCTTATTACCGTGAAAAAATATCTATCCACCCTTTTACTTTTGTTTTAATTGTTTGGTTCCATTGACTGCTCACCGAACCATTCTAATCGGGTATCAGTTTCCTGGAAAGTATGGGAGTGAAAACCATTTCCCAAGAGTCGGACAACCTGCTTTCGTGGGACATGTGGCGTTTATGAATGATCATTGGAAAAGTGGGAAAAACGTTGGTTAAGACTGGCAGCAAATACTGAGAATTAGCTCTTTCTATAAGGCCTCAACAGGAAATTATGACTATGAACAAGGAACTGTTTTTAGAGGCCATTATTTTCAACAAAACAATTATCTAATGCTTCACGAATTAAGGTCGAAATATTTATGTAGTTAATGAAATAATATAAAACTATGCGGAAGGAAGCAAAGGTGGGCATTCGAGAGCATCAAGCGATATTGAAGAGAGGGAAACACTACTTTCTACTGTCATCGCGGTTCCTGTGACCTTCATCCTATCCATTGTTTCAGAGACATGAGTTTGCTAAGGAGATCAACGCTGTGGAAGGCACAATGCACTTATTACTGGGTTGTCTTCCTAAACTCTTCACGATGTCGGTATTATTATATTGGGCTGATGTTTCGACCGCATCTTTACAGCATGGGCATTGCAGGACAACTCCACGTGAGTATCGAGGCACGTACGTAGGTTGCTTTATATTCCAGGATTAGAAAGCAAGAATAAATGTCATTTATTAAAAATCGCTTTGATGCCTTTGAAAATTTTCCACACTGACCCTTTAAAGGCGCCTATCACAAAAAAGTTAGGGTACCCTTTTCTGACGGGAATTGATAGAACTACTCTAGAATAAAGCGATAACAACGAAAAAAGCGCAAAAAACGATGAACAAAAAGAATTAAAAAGGGCCAAAAAAGAGCTGGAAAGGGGGTTGGACGAGTTTCACAGTGAAAGAACGTCGGTTAGAGAGTGTTCGGGCAAGTTGGCAAATTGCCAGGGACGGCAAATTGGCAACTTGCCAGAGACGCAATGTGTTGTCTGCAATAGCATGCAACACATTGCACCGTGGATATCTGTCCGGCCCCTGATTGTGCCCTATTCAGTCGTTTTCCGACCTCATTCCTGCACAAATAGTATCAGAGGGGGCGTCGAATTCAAACTATGTGCAAGTGTCCGAAACAATGTTTTTGTTAACAGTGCCTTTAACGACAACGCGCCTTTTTGCGTGTCTGGCGCACGGGACAGACGCATTTCGAAGCTTCCCGCTTCCCCGGCTCACCGTTGAGCCGCGCTGTCCCACGGTTGATACATTTTTCCAATGTGAGCATTTTTTGCTTTTTTTAAGCGTTTTTTCATGATTTAGTCTGAAATAGGTGGTAATTCGGTAGCTATGAGTTCTCAATTTTAGTAAGGTCTGGTTTTATGCATAATATAGCTTTGGGAGTCGAAATGGATCAGCTTGCAGTGGACGATTTAGAGGGTGGTTTTGAAAATTTATTGGTCGAAACCGGCGAAAATAGAACTGAAGATTAAAACTTTTCAAGCTATGCTTGGAGGTGTTACACACGGGGAGCTAAGATTTATTAAGATTTAAATTCGAGATTTACTTCGGTAGGCAACCCACAAGCAAGAACTATATTTGCTGCGGTCATGACTAATGGACGGGCTCTTAAATCAAGGAATGCATCTTTATACCAATAACTAGTGTAATACTAATACTCAGTGGAACATAGCACCCACTTATCCGACACTCGAAAAGGCGAAAAGGAATACAGGAATACTAGCAAAAGTCGAGGCAGTCGAAGTGAAGGCAATTTTTCAGAAAATTTGTTACAAACAACTATCTCGCGCTTATGGAAGCGTTCACACCCCTACAAGACGAGTCAATTCTAGGAGTAGTAGATGTTAAAGTCATTTTTACATTGATTGTTTTCAGAAAATGCACAGGAAGAGTGTTTTCCACGGAGAGAACCGAATTTATTAGTATTTTTCAGAAATTAGCGAAGTTTTTCCTAGCCCACTTTGTGTATAGCGTTATTTTGTGATTGCAAACCCATTCAACACAAAAAACTCCAAGTAAAACTAAAAATCGAGGAAAACAACCGATGAAAAGGGTGGGGTCCACCGCTGAGCCGCGTTGTCGTCAAAGGGTTAAGATCTATACACTTTTGTATGCGTTCGAACCAATTGTCGAAGCACTTTTGCCTTTCTGATTGAGGTAACTCTAAAACATGCATTCCGAACGCATCAATCTTCTTCAAGTGCCGGAAAACGTTGACCTTTCATTTTCATTTTTTAGAACGGGATAAGAAGAAGACACCCGAGGACTATATGGCGGATGACTCATCAAAGCGTTCTCTTGAGTGGTAAAAATTGCAGTTGTTTGAGCTCGCATCGTCGTGGCGAAGAGTGATCCGTCTTCGGCAGTTGGTTGTCCTGATTTTCTGGAAGGCAGCTGGCAAATAAATGGTTGTATTCCCCTCAGAATTTACTGTTCTGCTTGTTTTAGTGGTACGGTTGCGAAGTGTCTAGTTTTTCCAAAAAAAACAGGCGACCATTTGCTTGGGAGTGCTTCGTGCGCGAACAGTTTTGCTGTATTTGGCTCATTTTGACCACGCGATCGACTGCCCTTTACTTTTGGGCTCATACCCGTAAATCCATGATCCATCACCTGTCTCAATATTACAGACATGTTTCGAAGCAATGCGATC